ACAACTTGCCACTTTAAACTAAATTTCTGATCGATTAGGTGCAGTTTACACTTTGACAATGAAGAGCCGACCCAGCTCTTTGAAACGTCAGCAGTTAAATAAACCAGTTCCGGAGAGCCTATTTTCTTCTTCTAATAATCTTGTATACTATCGCCTCTGGTCGAAGTGTAGACTATTGAGACCAGTTTGAATGGTATCCAGAAGCTTCTAGGATGTAGGTGAGGAAGTACGCATATGCCAGTACATTTCTGGCAATTTAAAATCGCCTGCAATTATCGTGACATCGGATGAAGTCTCTGCGATTTTTTAAAGAGTTCACAGAGTTGGCTTTCATTTCCGGAGTAGCAAGTAGGATTATGTACACATTCAATTAATGCTTTCTATTTTGCGGAAGGCTTACCGAAACGAAACAGCGATTTCCAGAAAGGGAAGAAATGTTCAAATCACAAAGCGAATATACAAGTTAGGCTCCGACGTGAACAATAGAGCCACCGCCACGTTTTTCAACGCGGTCTTGTTGGTATAAGCCGAGACTATATATAGCAAGCGTCAAATCGAAATTTAGAGAGTGAGCCCAAGACTCTGTACTGCACAAGCCATCGGGATCAAACTCGAAAACTATAGTTCTCAGATCTGCCATCTTTTGCACGATCGACCTTATGTTGAGAGAAACTATACTCAGCGTATTCCTGAGATGCAGGTTTCGGTCATTGCTAATTATAAAAAAGGAAGATTTGGTTGTGGGAAATTAGGCTGTAGGGAAGAAATAAGGGGTGGAAAGCAAAGTTGCTGAGTTGCTGCTGAACAGAAAAAAACTGTTTCGTAATGAGACAAAAAATTGTTCAAATTTTCAAACCCTCTACGGTCTATGTCTTTTTATATTGACAGTAGGTTTTAACTGAGATGCTTGGAATTCAGTTTCTTTTAAACTTCGACGAAGGGTTGCCCATGGTCTCATATAAGAGACAGAAAAACCTGTGTTTAATGCCGATTTATAGGGATAAGAGCTGCCGAATATTTGAGGATTTAGGGATGAGGTTGCGTATGAGGCAAAAATTCGGAAGGCTGTTAGTATTTGTAGCCCGAACAGCAGAATTTTCACTTATGCAATTTTCGCTTAATTGTAAAGTCTTCAGAAAGAAAAACAGACAAATGATCATTTTATAGGCGACAAATCAAAACTGAATAGAATTTGTATTTATCAGTTGACCTATGTAGGGTGAAATGGACGACAGTAAATTTCTCACAAGTTGATAAGTCTACAGTAAAAGCGGCCAATGAGAGATTTAGCGTTATAAATGTAATGTTTTTTAAAAAAAATTTATGGGGAAAGCCTCTTACATATATGGATAAAACTCCAAAAAGCGAGTCTGCGATAAGTGAAAAATCATGACAGCATATTTCCGCTTCATGATAAATCGATAAAACACGACGGGAAGCGCAGATGACTCGTGGCCAAAAATAGAAAATCTTACCAGACCTCCACTGAAAAACCATGCAAGAGCTTGAGGAATCTAGGTAAAAATGCAAATTTCACTGGTCTTTTGAAAATCGTGCTTCGTGCGTTGACCTTAACCCCGTGGAGGGGACAATGTCATGTAATGTTCGTGACAAGTAGGGGTAGGGGTGTAGCTTCTTCCTCCAGACGATAGTCCGTGTACGCTTCCTTGGTATTACCACAG